GTACAATAAGCAGCAGTACAGTCTCTCCTCCTCTTCCAATACCAGCCAGCCGCCAAGAGAGAGAAAGCGCGCCACAAACCGCAAGAGATAGATTTCTTGTCGGTCGGAAGTATCAACATGACGAGGACTTGTGTGAATGACTATTTACACGCTTACATTATCTAAGGCGTCCAACTGTCCATGAGAACATGACCATATATATATATATATATATATATATACCAATTTATATAATTCATAAAAGCCGCTTGTATGTAGTACTATGTATTCACAAGTCCTTTTCTTCTCCTCTGAGTCTGACTAATGTATATAATTTCCAAGGTCTTGTCATATACATGATTCCACAATCTATTATTGCCGTGGCTGACATTTTTTCATGACGATTTTCCATGGCGGTGTTTGTTTCTTTCTCATAACACTCGAGATAAATCATCACTAATTACCCAGTTATTTATTTCCTTGCAAGTCGTAATTAAGGGATCAAAATGTACGCGGTAAATTCAAGTATTTACTATTTTTACACTCTCAAGAGGTTTGTATATTGAATTTTAACGTTTGAGTTTACATCTCGTCTACTAATCTCGATCATTTCAAGTGTAACATGTTAGGCCATTACTCTGATGAATTCGACTGATTTTGACAAGTTGATTAGGAGGGCCCTTCTCACAAAATGATTATCGCCGGCCCACCCCTATAATATCTCATTAATGTTGGTTTATTAGTTAGTTTGATGGATCAGCTAATAAGCTACACCATGTGCTTTGGATCACTAACTAATCTTTTGTCCCCTCTATCTCGGGACTGATTCTGGCCAGATTAAGTGATGAATTGGAACAACTTCATTTTAATTAAAATATTCCTCATCAAATTATTATATTTATAAAAAAAACATTTAGTTAAGAGCTAAGCTAATACTCTGATCTAAGTTACTAGATAATGAACCTGATTATATATGGGGAACAAGAGATGAATCCGACCCATCAAGAGGTTTTCCAAACAAGCTATCTATCACTGTCCTCTTTAAAAATCCATCTGGGACCCAAAACCTAGTGAGAAAGGGTTCATATATGGTATGGTATTTTCTAAATAGATTTTAAAGGAATGGCCTAATTCGAAAGTACTTGTCAATTAATATAGTTCCAATTTCTTCTTTTTGACTCTTCCGTCGGACTTAAGTGTTGCTTTAATTAAACCACAAATTCGGCGGGTAGCCATTATTGTCTTGAAATGAAGGGCTCGTTTGAGGAGAAGCATTGAAAGTGATTTTGGGGAGAAGCGCTATAAAATCATTTAAAACAAATAAAAGTGATTATATGGAGAAGTAAGAGCATCCACAATCATGCTCTCTATTTTTTAATTAAATTTTAGCTAAAAACATATAAAAGTTATTTTAGAAGCTCTCTGGGAGACTTTGAAAAAACACAAAGGAGAGAAAAAATTTGTAAAAGAAGCCAAAATAGACAAAATTGCCCTTATTTATTTTTGGATTTCCTAAGAAATCCTTTACATTTGCATGTCTTTGATTTGAAAGTTGAGAGATTTTTCTGTCTTTTTTGAAAAAGCTTTGGCTTTTTCCAAAAGTGAAATTTTTTTTTTGGCTAAAACCTAAATTTACTTAAAAGGTAAAACTCCAATCATACTCTTTAGTTTAGGGAGTCATAAATGATATAACTCTTTTTTTATTGGTCCATCTCTATTAAAAAAATAATATAAAAAATAGTTAGCATTAATTGAAGGTTTGAAGTACTCATTAAATAAAGCAGTATTAAATTATATATGGAGTCACTAAGAGTTTTTTCTCTCTCCTCAAATTTAGGAGCTCCTATAGGTCTCCTTATTTTAGGAGGTGGATAAAATTTGTCTAAAAATGTAGTTTAAAGAGCCCATTGTAGATGCTATAACTCTCCATATAAGTTATTATTCGTCTATCCAAAATCACTCCCAAACGAGCCTTAAATATAGAATGAAAATCAAAACTATTGCCGCCCCATAAAAGCAAAATTCCAATCTGTCCTGCACTCAAAATACAAGCCTAGTAGACCACTTTTTTCTTACACCTATATAAGAGTAATTTTCTTCTTCCTCCTTCTTTTCTTTTAAAAAATAAATAAATATTATACTCTTGGTTTTTTTTTTGGGGGGGCATAATTAGGTACACATTTTTTATATAATAATGGCAGGATTCATGTTTGCTGTATGGTCATAATGATTCATCGATTAGTGCAGAAAAAATAAAATAAAAAATCATTGCATAATATTACAATATATATTTGTGTCTATGCATGCACCCTAGGTGTGGTGATAGGGCGACAACTTTTTCACCATGGATTTCGTTTTTTTCAGATTAAGATTTTCCAATTGAATAGGATTGAAAAGAAAATGAAAAAGAGGGAAATTAAGGAGAAGTCAAACCCAAAAGCTACATTCACATCATTGGTGTCTCAAAAGCTATTTCACACGCGGGTTGCTACTAATTAATTAAATCATCTAAACTTGACTTAATCATGTATTTGTTTTTGGTTTTAGTCTTTAAATAATTTAGTAAATAATCATGCACTCTTTTTCTAATCAGAAAGTTCAATTAATTAGTGTTTAACAATTAACCAAACCAATTATATGCTAACGTGATCGACTAATTTATTGAGCGACGATGCGATGTTTGCTTTCAAATCCCAACAAATTATTTTTCACGTGTGACGCCATGCATAATTTTTCACTACTCTAAAAGAAGCAATTTGCTCTTATTTGAAATCACATTATGCTCTTAATCTTTGATTTGTTTAGAGAATAAGAACAAGCATCCCGGATTGGACTTAGACGGTGTCGTACTGTAGAATGATGAGAGGCGCCGACAAAACGACAGAGGATGGTAGGGCAATTAAGTGTACATATTGGTCGTATTTAGGCGTGTCGAGCTGGCTGCGTATTTTCCAAGACTTATATGGCATTTATATTGTCATACGTGTAACTGTCGGTCATAGAAACGTCTTTCAGAGCCTCCAATCATTGAGGGCTTCATCCAAGTTGGAGATTTAATACGGTGTGGTCACTCGGACGCTAATTGATTATGTCTTAATACGTGCCTGCCATGTGGAGGATCGGGGCCCACCATTAGTTGATCATAAGCTTTCATTATGTTAATCCATGATTTAGATCTTCGATTGTTCATTTTTTTTAAATAAATTTTTTATTTGAAGCTAAGTTGGTAGTACTAGGGTGGGGGCATTCTCCTCTTTCCAATTCATGAAAGCAAGAAGGGTATATTTCTTGGGGGTTTCCCTTTTTGTTTGATTTTATTTACAAAAACATTGATTGTGCAAATTGATAAATAATTTTTTTATCCCCACAAAAGCAAAATTATTATAACTTAGGGGACAAGGAACTAAGAAACTAAGAAATAAAATAAAATAAAATGCGTTAACCTCTTACAAAAAGGAAAATACTTCCCTCATTATCTTATAAGTAAGAACTCCCTCATTCATGCTAATGACTGTATGACATATGTGTAGAAGTTTTTTTTTTAGTATTTTTTATGAATTATTTTTGCATATGTGTCAAACTGTTATTTGCATAAATAAGGAGCATCGTCTTCTAGGGTAGCTTATGCAACATCATTACAAAAATAACAGGGTAACTCAAGTAGTATCATTACAAAAATAATGAACGTACAAATTAATATGAGTGATGCTCACACCTCACTATGTCAAAACCACATTAATTTTAAGAATAAACTCCGACTCAATTTTAAGAAGCCAAGCAGTATCCTTTTCCTTACATGGCAACAAGATGTACAGGGTAAACTAATCTCATCCATTTTAAGTATGTTAGTATATTAATACAGATTAAATTAATACTTTGCTAATGGCGGCAGGCCTAAAAGGGCGGGGAAACTATAAAGAAGAAGAAGAAAGGGAAAAGGGGAAAAAGGAGAGTTGTCTGTTCTTTTGTTTTTTCTTTTATGTTTTCTTATGTAGTTTCCCATGGAATCTTTGGGATTTTATTTTTATTTTTATTTTTATTTTTTATGTTGTGTGAAAAATACATAGGTACCTTCAAGATATTTCTAGCATGACTTATGTAATAATTTTCTCTTTTTATATGGTCACATATACAAATGGAACCCACACTTGACGCTCTGGTACTGTCGGCTGATGGCTTTATATTTATCCGGTAAATATTTATACAAAGTAATATATGACATATATATAATTTTTTAGTGTATAATGCTACATGTTGGTAGTTCGATAAGATTAATTATTTTGATTTATAATTTAAATCTTTTGTCCTCAAACGCAGTGTTCTGTGTACAGTAGCTGGCAAAGCATGGCTGAAATACTATTTTATGCAAATTCATCAATATGTGTTATGTTCCAACTTAGGCAACAAGTGAAAGAGCCAATGGGATGTAGTCGAGTCTAGTGAAAAAGGGTCTTGATTTGCTTATCAGAGGTCTCGGATTCGAACCCTCATAACATCTTAATATTGTGTAGTTTAAACTATTGCTTATATTCAAATCAACAAGTGAGAAAAAAGTAAACTAATTTCCTTCCATATATTTCCGTATAAAACTATACAAAATATTATTATTTTGATTGAAATGGTTCAAAATCATAACAAATACACAATAGTAGGTGAGGCTAATTAAGTGCAAATATTATGGATGGTTAATTATGCTGAACATAAGCACATGCTCAATATTAAATCAAAGGTCTCTATTTCTGCAAGCAACACAAAATTAAATCAAGGGACACCCCTGCTTTTGGATTGATGAGGTTTTAAACATAAGCAGCTTTTCTTTTATGTAAATTAATTTCCCAAGTCCCCTCAACCCATTAAATATTTTTATGAACCCTAAACATGTAACTGTATTTTTCACTAATAAGTTAAACTAAAGTACACGTTTATAGAGCTGTTCTCATTTATATCACCTTTTTTTTTTCTTCCCACAATTTCTAGAGATAGAGAGATATCTTAAAAACCAATCCAGTCCAATGCAAAAAGCAGCCAGCAGCACCAGATTTGCGTAAAACCCACTTGATTGCTTCAACTCTCTCTCTCTCCCCCCCTCTTTCCTTCTCTCTCTATCTCTCTCTATGACTTGAATTCTAAGTATGATTTATGCCAGTTTTCTTTAAATCATAACAAATTATTCTTAATTTTTTCCACTCTTACAACATATGGAGAAAGAGAGAGAGAGAGAGTCATAGAAACAGACATATATTCTCAACCCCCATGTCCGGATTTTTGCTGTGATCAGCAGCAGCTACCTGCTAGCGGCTGCTATATCATTTTCCATTTCTCATTAGCACAAAAAAGAAACGAAAAGAAATGGGACGCCATTCGTGTTGTTTGAAGCAGAAGTTAAGGAAAGGTCTGTGGTCACCAGAAGAAGATGAGAAGCTCTTCAATTACATCACCAGGTTTGGTGTTGGTTGCTGGAGTTCAGTCCCAAAGCTTGCTGGTACTTAATTGCATAACTTCTTCAACTTTGCATTATTCAAATTTGGTGTTTGAAACATTTTATCAAATGTTTGATAATTTTGTTTCTGGTTTTAGGTTTGCAGAGGTGTGGAAAGAGTTGCAGGTTGAGATGGATAAACTATTTGAGGCCTGATTTGAAGAGAGGGATGTTCTCACAACAAGAAGAGGATCTCATTATCAGTCTCCATGAAGTTCTTGGCAACAGGTAATTAATTTAAAACCAATTAACCACAAGATTTTTTTGCAATAACAGGCTTGAATTTGTCATCCCTGGTATGCAAACAGAAATGGGCAATCCTTGTTTTGGAATTTGAATGTATCTGGTTTTGAAATTTCATCAGGTGGGCTCAAATTGCAGCACAATTACCAGGCAGAACAGACAATGAGATAAAGAACTTCTGGAATTCATGCTTGAAGAAGAAGCTAATGAAGCAAGGAATTGACCCAACTACCCACAAGCCACTAAGTGAAGAAGAAATGAAAGAGAAGAAGAGTATGGATTGTTCAGAATTAAAAGAGTGTTTGCCAATGCCAGAGCATGAACAAGGGCTTCCAACTATACCAGCCATGTCTTCCTCCCAAGGTCCAACATTTCTTGTCAATGATTCAAATTACTTTGATGGAGCTGGAGTTTTAACACAAGCCTCAAGAGCCTTTGATTCTCTCTCTTACTTTGAGTTCCAAACAGGTATTGAGCCATCTGGCTACAATTCAGATCTTGTTTCCACTCAATACCACCCTACCAATGTTAGACCCCATTTCAATCAACCCCATAATACTACTTATGAGACAAGCTCAAATTTTGGGTTCACTTCAATGCCAAGTTTAGCGAATTCGGACCACGGGAGCATGTCAGGGACAGATTTTTCTGATAATTCAGCTTCAAGACTGAGCTCATTTTTCATGAATGAGGTGAAGGAATGTTCAAGCAATAGCTCCAATGTGAGCAGCTATGCAGCAGGGTTCCATATGAACAACAACAGCAACAACAACAACAACAACAACAACAACGTAGTCGAAAATGCAGCTTTTTCATGGGACACAGATAACAAACTAGACTCCATGTTTCAATTCCATGCCAATGGGATAAAATCAGAGGAGCTTATCAAACCCAATTCATGGCAACAAGGGCAGCAGCTTCTTCATGCTCAAAATTCTGTAGATTTCAATAGCTATCCGTTAACGTCGCTGTCAGAAGATCTAACAGGTGCAAATTTTGATGTCTTCCAGCATATCTGAGATTGTAAATTCAATTTTTAATTTTTTGGTTTCTTCTTGGGTTTTTAAACAAATACACATAGATGTTGATAGTAACAGGGGAATTCCTTCTGATGCCAAAAAAAAAAAAAAAGGGTTTGGGATATTGAGGATTTTCTTTTTCCACTTTTATTTTATTGACCAGGTGTAATAAATATTTTAGTTGATTTTACCAAGTTGTTAAACTGTAATTTGCAGCATATTCTGTATTCTGTTCTTTTCAGAAGAAAAAAAAAAGGTTGAAATAATATGATGGGTGTAATTAGTTGCTTTTGTGGTCCTAATCTTACGGTGTTGGTAAACTAATTATCATTATAACATTGCTGTTTTCATGTCTGTCATTTTCCTGCTTACCACCAAAAGTGCTTTTGCAGAGGCCAAAGCTGCTCTGCACCAAACAGCTAGCAGCTACAAACTAATTCTTGATTTGCATTATTAACCCCATGACCAAACAAAGCTCATTATTGATGTTTAATCTGTATCAACAAGTATACATTGAACGTATACATACATACATACATACTTACATATACATTAAATTATATGGAAATTCATTATTATGTGTATGTTTGTAAATTAATTACAATGTAGTTAGGGCCCTGTGTGGGGTTGGGTTAAGATTGTGATATTTCTTGAACCGCTGGCAGAGTTTTGAGAAGATTATTCTGGGCCTCTCTCTCTCTCTCTATATATATATAAGAGAGAGAGAGAGAGAGAGAGAAAGAGAGAGAGAGAGAGAGAGAGAGAGAGTACGTCAGAGATGCTGATTTTCTAGCAAATATATATATGGCGGGCTCCAGACCATTCATGCATTCAGTCGCATCCCTCCAAAAGGCTAATCTTGGCTGGCCTCTCTTGCATTATTGGAGAGACATCTAGAGAGAGAGAGATAGGAGTCTTCCAAAGTAAACAAAAAAAAACTCTAAATTGCTCGTAGCAATGCTATTCTCACACCCAGAGTTTGTCATTCCGCGCCCTCTTTCTTTGCGTGGTTTCGAATAAGAGAGTATTGACGTTGAATTGCAGAACGACAATCTGCGAGTGCAAATAACATGTAGTGTCGGATGTACTAGTGGGAGGCTCTCACAAAGGGCACTATATGTCACTTTAGGAAGATGCTAGTCAGCGCCGGCCAAGGCTTCAAGGTCGTGCATGTGCATGGAGCCCATGCATGGGCTAATTTTGACTTTGAAACATATATGCCCGCAGGTACATTACACTTTAAGGCAGTCGCCAAAACAATGTAGAGCTTAAGAGCCCTTCTCAAATAATTATATGTAGTCTTCTTTCCTATCATTTTTGTAGGTACAAAAGATACCTCAACCCTAAAATTCTTATCCATACGCCACACCGAATTACAAGTACTCAATCATATACCCTTGGTGGGTCACTGAAAATGATCACCATATAGATTGAGTTCCAGCAATTTTACAAATAGCTTAGTGATCGATTCACCAAATCGGAACTAAATTTAGTGTTTAATTACTTAAAATGCATGTTAATTAAGGTCATTTTCATTTCGCTTTACAAAGAGGTGAGATCGTTTTATAGGAAATGAAAACCTCTTTGAGAGTACCTATTACAGTATACCGCCGTGTTCAAAGTCTTGACGCCAAACAGACTCTGGACCTTCCTTTAATTCAAAACATGTAAAGAAAGAAAAAAAGATCACCCTCATACTCATTGGCGACAGTTAATAAAATTGATACAAACTAAACATCAGTTATCATAAAAAATTCATGGCTTTGAGTTGCTTGCTTCAGACTCCTGATATCAACATCGGTGATTAATGAATTTTTACGTCTGTGATTAACAAATCAAATCAAATTACTTAAGAGAAGAAGTCAATAAAATTAAATTACAATTAACCTCTTCCTGGTTTTTATTACAATTATATGCATATGCATAATGCATGCAAAAAACACAAAGCTCAAGTGAACCGACATGAGGGGGGTCAAAAGCAAATAAATTTGAATGCATGAACCAAAAAGAAAAAAAGATGGTCTTCCCAAGTAAAGATGAAAAGGGTTTATTTTGGTCAAACAAAACAAGGGTGTTGGAAAAGTTGGACTGGTCTTGGTAAGCCTTTTAGCTAGTAATGAGCTCTTTGAGACAGACCAAAATTACAAAGCGGCACCGACAACGGAGCTTTGCTTTCAACAAGTTTTTTTTTTTTGAGTCAATATCACATGGAACATGTTAACATTCAGATGGTTTGATTTCTGCAGAGCAAAAACAAAAAAAGAAAAAAAAGCAGAGAGCAAAGTGTGCACCAGCCAGCTCTTTTGAGCTTCTACCACTTGATTGGCCTGTTTTGGCACAATTTATGCCACCTAGCTAGCTTCTTAAGATTTTGGAGGACCAATCTTTGAATTTTGATGCACAAAATATTTTAAAAGTTTGAAAACGTAGCCTGCTGACCAAGCCAGTCTGGCCAGTTTTGCGTACAGCAAATACATTACTAATTGGACATTGATTGATGCTTAAAATGAAGTAACAAATTAACCCAGCGGACATCATGTATTTTCTACTAACCCTCCTTGCTTTCCTCCCTGTTACGTCTGGATAAGAGAAAAACTGTATATATACATGTATGTATGTAATTTGCAGTTTGGCTCTCAGTACTAATAATGACATTTAAACATTGACAGCAAACAGAGCTAAGAAATTTAGACAAGATAATAAAGTGTTTTTGGTTGCTTAATTTGAAAGCTTCATGAATGATATATAGCTTGTGATCAAAGATAATTAAGCTGCAATTATTTATATATCTGACTGAGGCTGCGAAAGTGGTTTCATGTCTCTATTGGTTGCCTCTTTCGTGGTTTGAATCAAAGGAGCAACTGAGGACATGCTTGATGATTGTTTGCTCTTGCATTAGAGGTTGGTTAGAATAGCTGTCCCTCTCAGTTAGAATTTGAGTTTTGTGGAATTGGCATGGCTTAGTTTAGACTTTAGACAAAGTAGGTAGGCATAAGTCTGGAACAGCTGCAACTAGAATTCATGTCCTTTTCATTATTTTTAATTAAACTGCTGCTTGCTAGATAGCCATTGCTGGGGGCGAGTTCCGAAACGATGCGTCGTTGAGATGCAGTTTTGAGCAATCTTATGGAAATTATATGCTGTTTTCCTAATGTTGTTGATTAAAAACATGTCTTGTTCATAATGTTAGGCTGATGGCTTTAACACTCATTGTTTTACCTTCCTGCTCTCCTGCAAGTGTAGAAAGTTGTGAAATATTCAGTTTGAAGCGTGTATGTATGGCTTTTCTTCTCATACCGCGGAATTGACACGTCGCTTGGTCAGGAAGTAATAGGAGACAATTGATCTAATCTTGTTCTGTTTCCTTTTATGAAGCCTTATGGATTATGGATCTTAGAAAGCAAGCCAATTGGCACCCCCAAAAAAAAAAAAAAAAACTGTTCTATACACACATGACGAAGTTCTAAGATCATTCACCCGATTCATGACATATTCGAGCATAGAAGAATTATGCAGATTCCTCACTGGGAGATATACAATCTACAAATAGAACATTGAAAAACGTTAACTGTTGAGGAGCAGCACAATTTGTAAATGAAATATGCAGATTCTTGACAAGAGTATTGATGTTCTCTCCAATCCTTGAAAACCCAATATCCTCCGCTCTTGTGACTTACAGAAACATCCTTTGATTCATTCAAGTTAAAGCTCCACATTGATATGCGTGTGGTTGTGTTTTCAGTTTGCACCACCAAACCAATTGTAATCAACAGTCTGCCTGCCTGAAAAATGCCAGCTGCCGGCCTCAGATGGAAGACAATACTAGCATCGAAACTAACTGCAGACATGAAGCCCAGACAACAAAGGAGCATGGTTGGCTTTCGTCAAACTGAACATGCTGGGTAATTTCTTCATGAACTACAAATTTTTGCAAGCTTCTGTCATCACAATATACTAGGGCATGGTCCAAACCTTATCTGCCATGAATGCTGCAACCAAGGCAACTTCATCATCTCTTCTTATTCTTAAAGTTCCCTACTAGCTCTTGGCAAAGGAGGCACCTTTAGTTATCTCAAAAAAGTTGTGCCTTGGGCAGTTAAATCAGGTTCCTTCCAAGGATGATCAGAAAGGGGAGGTCCTATTGGATGAAAATTCCAATAATTGAAAATAACAAATCAAGGCAGAAATTTTTGACTAATACTCGTGAAACTGAGATATGACGCAACAAAATGAAACAAAAAATTAGTAATTTTAGAGCAAGAAAATAGGTCGGTCCTCACCCTAAGTGAAATCCAATGAAAGCAAAAGTTATACACCAATAACTAAAGCACACATATTAGATAGGATGATGTCTGGAATATAGATTAATATAGCACAATGGTATAAGAAAATTGCACGGACAACAGAGCATAAAACATGTTGAACATAAACGAGGGCCTACCTATGCATATGACTTACAGAGAAGCTCCACATAAACGAGGGCATAACTAAGTATATCAGATTATGTTACTGCAAGGGGATTTTCTGTTGTGCTGAATGTTAAGGGATATCAGAAATGAACATGCATTCAAAGGGCTAGAAGACAGGGAGAGACAAAAATTCAATGCTTTATTAAAACATGAAGATACCTTTAACATCCACTCATCTAGTCAAAGACAACAGCTGACACAGTGCAATGACGATCAATCTATATTACAAAACAACTATTTCCTACACCATTGAATTTTGGGTTTCATTAGTTGGCAAGGAACCAATTTGTTGTTCTCTATGTTACAAATACAGGATAAACTCACATGACTAAAACTGCGGCAATCTAGGGCATGTAGGTTTGCCTGTGGGGATGAGCTCCAGCCTGATAAAGAGTGAGATTGTGCATGGATTTGGCAAACAAATCCCTCAAATCAGGAGACTGAGCTACAACAGAACGAGCTCCCCCCTCAAGAGTATTCAATGCTCGTGCTTGTTCAAGAGCCTTGCTATTGCCAACATGCAATGCTAGATAACATAGTAGTACTAAGCAGTCGACGTGACCCCGTTCGTTGATTCGATCAGTGGTCCGCAACAATCTCATCAAAGAAGGAACCCCATCAAACTCAATAATCGTCTTCGAATGCTCCACACAATTGAAATTGTCCGTACTCACAAACTTCCCTAATGCAATAGCAGCCTCAGTTGCCACATTCACATCCCCATTGCCAAGCCGGGCAACCAAGGGACCAACGATTCGGGTTTCCCTAGCAGGAAATGTTCTTGCCAATGATCCAATTGCCTTAATGGCAGGAATTTGCAATTCT